CCAACGGACCTCACAACCTCTGAGGATGTTTGCCACAGATGTGGGCTTCTGAAACATGCCCAGAAAGCCCAGAAAACTCACAAGCAACCCAGTTATTCTGGCCATGAAAGCCTTCGACAACACACCAAGCTTGATGCTTGTTATCCTATTTCACAATGAATGTTTTGACACACTATGAGAACTTAGAACTCAAGAGTGCAACTCATCTGTACAATGAGACAGAAGCAAAGCAGGAAAATAATGAAATTCAAGAGATGGAGTTATATGTTGCCTGAACTGGGGCTCCTAAGATTGTGGCTTTCAATACAAGCCAGGGTTTCTAAGAGAAGAATCAGCCTTGGTTGCCCACTTCGGCTTGAATGGAGCCTAGAACAGAATCCACAGCTGGATATCATGTACTTTTTGAGAAGGACAAGGGCTTGGAATGCTTTTGATTTCAGGGAATCCGGGGTTCTCTTGAATTTTGGCTTCTTCTCTTTTTTGCATTCAGATATCATCAATTCAGATATGTTCAATCTATAAAGGATGACTTTGTGCCACTAATATTGATGCAAAAAGGTAACTGGAAAACAAGCAAAAGCTTGAAGTAGACCCACCATGAAGGAAAACCATAACTTGCAACTTCTTAAGAGTTCATGCAGAATACAACCTAATTCTACTATTTTGCTCCCTCACTATCAAATGTACACACACACCAAGGTGGCCAATGGACCAAAAGGCAACATGGGCAAGATCACACAGAATTTGGGGTACAGGTCAAACAAGAGAAAGCGAACTAGGTCGGAACTGCAAAAAGTCCAAGGAAAGTGTGGTCGAAGGCTTTCATGGCCTGCTGTGAGTTTTCCAGGTTGTATGGCCATGTTCCAGAAGCATTCCCTCTTGATGTTTCACCCAAAGACAAGAAACAAGGGACAGCTAATCACCTCCCAACAAAGGATTCACCCAGGCAGGAAGCAACCAAGCCTTGAAGTTACAAGGGTTTTCAATGCTAATCAAGGTGATCAATTGCAGCATTCACACTTGCCTCAAACAGACAAAAGTACTTTTTCCCACTCTGGACATTATTCCACAGATATATAAACCCCACTTGCCCTGTTTCTAACAAACGTCACAACCTCTGCCATAGATGCAGGTGAAACGCAGGAGAAAATGCTTCTGGAACATGGTCAGACAGCCCGGAAAACTCACAGCAACCAGTCCAAGGAAAGGTTTGCTTTTCAGCATGTTATTATATTAAAGGTGCAGAGTGCTTTGGGGCAGCCGTGTGGCAACAGCAAAAGCACAAGGTGGATTTGGCCAATGCTGGGCATTTTATATGTTGGAAGAAGAAGGCACTACAATACCATTTAACACAAACACAAAACCCGAATCCTACTAAGAGAAAAGACACTGCTGAAAACTAGGACTTTTAACATTGGGTGTCCTATCCAAAAGTTTATGTACAAGGGTTATCCGGAAAGTAAGGTTAAAAGGCACGTAGCTCTCGCTGGGAATTTTCATGGGGGAAGTTGGTATCACTGCCGTGTAGCAGGAAGCAAGTGGAAATGAATGAGCAGTGCCAGTCGTCAGTAGCTCATTGACTGGTGTTGTGATGAAGGTTAGAGATGAGCGTCCTCATTCCGTTTCCCTCCAAGTGCGAAGTTCTTAGCACTGTAATATGTTATCTCTAAATGCTAAGGGTATGAACGCCACAGCGATTCATTGCGAAATTGTTTCAGTTCATGGAGAGGATGTAATGTCAAGACAGCATGTGACAAAATGGGTAAGGAGTATATTGTGAGACCATGAAGAAGCTTTGCAGAGCCATCCAAAACAAATGTTGTGGGATGCTGACAGCGGACGCGCATTGTCATGGAATGCATGTCAATGCACGTCCGCACACCGTTCATGCAGCACAAGAGTTGTTGACTTCATTTGGTTAGGATGTTTGAAGTCACCCCTCTCACAGCCCTGATCTTGCACCAAGTGACTATCATCTGTTCACTAAATTGAAGGAACACCTGGATCAAAAACACTTTTTCCACGACAAGGTGAAAATCGAAGTGACAAACTGGCTGAAAAAGGCGGAAGGAAACTTCTATGACACAAGCATCAAAAACTCATCCCACAGATGACAAAATGTATTGAACTGAATGTTGATTATGTGGGAAAATCTTGTAATCCCTATGCTACAATCCATGGAAGTTTTATTAAAATATATTCATTCTTTGTATTTTTAAAAAAAATATATCTTGTAACCTTACTTTTTGGATTACCCTCATACAAAGAAACGTTCTAATTCTCTTTTTGTGTGCCCCACTTATGCCCAATAACTCAATCTTTATTAAAATGTCAGCCACAGTAAATTCAACAGGCCTTGCACCACAAAACAGCTGCACAAAAGGAATAATACTTTCTGATTTTTAGACACAGTTGGCAAACATTCATACATGTTGTTTTTTTTTATAGAAAAGGACCATCCATTGCAAAGGTTACCAATAATATGCTGGCAAGTCTCTGGTGACCTTTAAAATAAATGCCAAGTCGGCTTATACTTCCAACTCTGGTCTTTTGTTTTATTGGAAGGTGGGATTCCATTGAATACTACAACTTTAGCTTTCTTTTTAAAAGAATCTGTTACGAGACTAAATCCATTTTAGGCTCAACCAGAGTACAGTGAACATGATCTTACTACCCTGTTTCCCCAAAAATAAGACATCCCCTGAAAATAAGACCTAGTGGAGGTTTTGCTGGATTGCTAAATATAAGGCCTCCCCAAAAGTAAGACCTAGCAAAGCTTTGTGTTCATAAATATCGGGATCGGTAAATGTACCATAGATCGTTGTACATGGAAATAATGGTACTAACAAGAAATTATTGACAGGATTCACAGTTTGTCTGGTTATTCTGGTTTGTGATGACAACTACTGTACAAATATAATAACTGTTGGGTTGTTGTAGGTTTTTTCGGGCTATATGGCCATGTTCTAGAGGCATTCTCTCCTGACGTTTCGCCTGCCTCTATGGCAAGCATCCTCAGAGGTAGTGAGGTCTGTTGGAACTAGAAAAAGTATATCTGTGGAATGACCAGGGTGGGACAAAGGACTCTTGTCTGCTGGAGCTAGGTGTGAATGTTTCAACTGACCACCTTGATTAGCATTTGATGCCTGACAGTGCCTGGGGCAATCTTTTGTTCTGAGGTCATGAAAATGAACAAAATCTGGCTACCAGTATTAAAAAAACTCTAAAATTAGAACAGCACAACAACAGAGAGGAAACAAACAAGGACATCTAATCACCTCTCAACAAAAGATTGCTCCAGGCACTGCCAGGCAATCAAATGCTAATCAAGGTGGTCAGTTGAAACAATCACACCTAGCTCCAGCAGACAAGAGTCCTTTGTCCCACCCTGGTCATTCCACAGATATATAAACCCTTTTTCCTAGTTCCAACAGACCTCACTACCTCTGAGGATGCTTGCCATAGATGCAGGCGAAACGTCAGGAGAAAGCCTCTAGAACATGGCCCTATAGCCCGAAAAAACCTACAACAACCCAGTGTTTCCGGCCATGAAAGCCTGAGTCAATACATAATAACTGTTCATTTTTCTTGTTCAACAATAACTGTGAATTCTTCTTCATGCAAAAAGAAGACATCCCCTAAAAATAAGACCTAACACATCTTTGGGAGCAAAAAATAATATAAGACACTGTATTATTTTTGGAAAAACAGGGTAGTTGATTTCAATGGGTCTACTGTAGTTGGTACTAAAGATGGATACCACAAATGAACTGTAAAATATTATAATTGTGGGATGGAAGATGAGAGGACAGGTACCATTTGAAACAACCACAAGGGAGACACTGGTGGGGGGGGGGGGAGAGGGTCTGAAAACATTATGTTCACCTTACTTCAAAGGTGAGGACCAATACAACAGGATTACATACATGGCCTAGTAAGGCAAAGAAACTGGTTTACGAAGGCCACTTGCGCTTCATTAAAGTTATTCCTAGAGCAAGATTCTGACCTATTTTTTCTGAATATTTTCTGTTCTTCTACCTTAAGTAATGCAAGAGTATCTACCTCTTGAAAGAAACATCACACTTATCTAGACCAGGCATGGGCAAACTTCAGCCCTCCTCCAGGTGTTTTGGACTTCCACAATTCTTAACAACATCAGGCTCCTTCCTTTTCAACCTCAGCCGCATAAGGAAAGGGCCTGAGGCTGTTAGGAATGGTTGGAGTTGAAGTACAAAACATCTGAAGGGAGGGGCAAAGTTTGCCCATGCCTGATCTAGATGGTCTGACAGATCTGGCATAACTTCAGAAACAAAGTCTACTTATTGACAAACTCCTAAGAACTTTCAAAAGTTTTGTAAGCTTTTTTGGGTAGTGTTTCATCATAATGAGGGTCAAATTCTTATACCGATCATGAAAATCTGTCTCCATGAAGATCTCTAGGATCTCATGGAGAATTGAAATAAGAGATGTGTGCAAAAATTCAAAGATTACACCTTCATCGCTCCCTAAAGGGCACAGCGCAGTGAACTCCTCATCTCGGTGTGCAACCGTTTCTGGTACAGTAGAGTCTCACTTATCCAACATTAAATCTTATCTGACGCGCCCGCCCCCCTTTCCTTCCAGCATTTCCCCTTCAATTAAAGGAGCGCTCTCCCTCCATTCCCAATAAGTAAGAAAGGCAAGACAAGGAGGAGGAGGGAGGAAAGGGGGAAAAGAGGTAGGACTGGAAGCGGAAGCGTCCTTCCTCCTTCCTTCTGGGATTTCCACGCTCCTCTTCCGCATCTGAGCACTTCCTTCTGGGCTGCTCTCACCCTGAGGTGTTGCCTTGACTTAACGCTTTGAGTCTTTGTTGTTAGTATTCTAGGTGTTTAGTGTTGCATCGGATGGGTAACAGTAGGAGAATCCATATTATCCAATATTTTCGTATAATCGACATTCTGCCAGCCCGTTTATGTCGGATAAGTGACACTCTACTGTATCTGAATGTGTTCAAAGGTGCCTTTTGTACATGAGCCATGCATTTTGCAAGTGGTTCTTTTGAGTGAGGCTACCTTTCCTGCCCTGTTTGGACAGTCCAAGTGGTGCACTGTTTCAGGAGGACTGTTGCTCTGGTGTGCAAGACTGCTTCGGGACACCCCAAAGTTCACTTTAAAATCCTTGAACCACCAGCCAACTGTGCTCTGTAGACCACCCTAAGAATCCCACATCTAATCTAAAATCTAAGGGCCACTTCGTGTGGTCTGGAATATTAAGAAGTAAAGCTGTCCCTTGACTGAACTGTTAGGCAAAAGGTTGGGAGATGTTGCCCAAGTGAAAAAGAACTATCTGCATGTAAAAACACGTCATCAAAACAGGTAGGACAAATCCTTCCTCTGAGTGAGCAAGAAGCAAAGAAGAAAAGAGTTTTCCAACATCAATCCCATTTTGTCTAACATAACTGAGTTCAGGAAAAGCTTTGCCCCTTGTTTCCTCTCATTGTGAAACCTGAGTCTCACACTAACATGGGCCCCAATACCTACAGACCATAGGAGCAAGTAGGATTCCACTCGGCTATTCTGGACAGACTCCAAAAATTGCTTCATGGCAACATTATAAACACTGCATTCACCTTCACCGCAGGAGGCAAAACAATCAAGTGGCATAATATCCATTTGCATATTTAAAAAAAAAACAAATTACTGTACCTGTTCTACCTGATGTAACACTGAGTAACTGCAAGTACATGCAAAGTAAATTGCTATCTTAAAAAGGACAAAAAGGGGAGCCGGTCTGTTAAAAGAAGCTTTTCGTTATGAAAGTGTGAATGCTTATTTTGTGAGTCTCTTAGCTACATCGCTGTAAGCTATTTCAATCTCTTTGTCTCCGGGACAAGTGTTGGTGAATTCATCGCGGCTGTAGGCATTCGTCAGGTATCTCCAAATCCCAGTCATTGTCTTGGGAATTTCAAAGTTACGGTACTTTTTGGCCACAACCTAGAAAGAAAGCAAAGGAAGAATTATTTTGGATGGTGGTCAAGAGAAAAGAGACCGGGGCTTGAGGTATTTGGTACCCGACAACAAAAACAATCAGCACATAATCAGTTGGGAAGCTCTTCTCTGCAAACCATACTGAACTGAATTTATTGTATTTTACTTTGGAAGGAACTCAGGATGGCATACATTGATTCCCTTTCCTCATTTTATTTCCACAAGGAAAAGTAGATTATACCAAGAGAGAAGAGAAAGTGCTGGCTGTTACCTATAAAGCCCTAAACGGTTTGGGTCCAGGCTATTTGTCTAATCGCATCTCCCTATACAGACCATCCCAGAGAAGGCCCTGTTCTTGGTCCCACCGTCTCAAGCTCGGCTGGTGGGAACGAGAGAGGAGGCCTTCTCCGTGGTCGCCCCCCACCTCTGAACTCCCTCCCTAAAGAAATAAAACTGCCCCCCATCCTCCTGTCCGTTAAGAAATTTTTGAAGATGCAGGTCAGCATTTAGAGAGGAGGACTAAGATACTATGCCAGGGGTCCTCAAACTTTTTAAACAGAGGGCCAGGTTACAGTCCCTCAAACTGTTGGAGGGCCGGATTATCATGTGAAAAAAAAAATGAATGCATTCCTATGCACACTGCACATATCTTATTTGTAGTGCAAAAAAAAACCACTTAAAAACAATACAATAATTAAAATGAAAAACAATTTTAACAAATATAAACTTATTAGTATTTCAGTGGGAAGTGTGGGCCTGCTTTTGGCTGATGAGATAGGATTGTTGTTGTTATTCTGTGCTTTCAAGTCGCTTCAGACTTAGGTTGACCCTGAGCGAGGGCCGAGGAAATAACCTTGGAGGGCCGTATCTGGCCCTCAGGCCTTAGTTTGAGGACCCCTGTACTATACCTTTGGAACACTAGTGAACCCATTTGCACTATATGATGGCTATGATTCATTTTAATCAACACCTGTGTTAGCCATTACATTTGCAACTCCTGTCTAACTGTTTTTAATGATATATGTTTAATGTTTACGCACTCTAGTTTATTTTCTAATTGGTTTATTCCCCGTCTCAATGTTTAATTTTTTCATTATAGGTTTATTGCTATTATTGTGTGCTATTTTGTTTTATTCCTGATGTTGTTTGTTACTTTGTAAGGAATTGAATGTTTGCCTGTTTTTGTGCTGTAAACCGCCCTGAGTCCCTTTCAGCAGAGAGGTGCAGTCTAGAAATAAAGTGTATTATTATTATTTTATTGACACAAAAACACAGTATGTCACAGCAAATGAAATCTATATGCTGGATTTCGTATCACAAAATCACAAGTCGAACACTTTCCAAGTGTCTAGGATTGTGTGATGTATTTTCGAATGATGCGTGCAGATCCAAGTAAGGTGGACTTTTGCAGTTGACAGATCATGATTTTATCAATGTTTCCAAATAACCCCCCAATGGGTGCCACCTTGTCGTGGTGGGGGGCTTAACTGCTCCAAGGATGCTGAGAGCTGTGTTGGCAGTAGTGTAACTACCAGCAGGTCCAACCAAGCCAGAAAGGTCTCAGCTGAGGAGTGGAACCAAGAGCACCTAACTCATTAGCACTATGGAGAAGCAAACCAAAACTAAGTGTATTATTATTATTATTAATGGTCAGGGGCCACCCATGTAAACTTCCTGGCTGAGTTTGGATTTAAACTGATGACTCTCAAGTCATGTATATTCCGTTATAATAGATTAGCATTTTTGTATGGATCCTGTACATTTCAGTAGTCTGTCCTCAATTTCCTGGATAACCCAAATCTCATGTCACCCCCAAACAATGCCAACCAAAGCAGTCATCTATCTTAACTTCATGGCTACATTATCCTTGAAAAGACTGACAAATCCTTTGGCTTCTCTGAGAAGCATAAGTATTTGAGAAAGGAAGCAGCGTGATTAGTGTAAGAAGACTTGCTCATGTTTGTATATTCCTTGAACATGGCCTCACAACCTCTAACGATGCCTGCCATAGATGTGGGCAAAACATCAGAATGCTTCTGGAACATGGTCATAGAGCCCAGAAAACTCACAGCAACCCAGTGTATACTAATGCTTTTATATCAAGCTACTTTGGGGAGATTAAAGTAGGGCATAAATAAACATAATAATACTAATACTACTACTACTAATAATATCATCATCCTAGGGCTTATATTTCATTTTGGGGTGTTGAACACATTGTAGAAGTTGAACACATTGCAGAAGGCCGGGCTTTAAAACAGCTGGTTAATCACCAGCAGCGCTAGATCATTGCAGTTCGAAGCCTGAGTCAGAGTAAGCACCCAAAGGTCAGCCAAGCTCACTGTCCACCTAAGCAGTTCAAAAACAGCTGAGCTGTGAGTAGAGAAATTAGGCACCGTATTTTACGAAACCACAAAATGCCGACGATCAAAGAACAAGGAGGAAAAAGCCAGCGATCAAAGAGCTTGTTGTCATAGCGGATGGAGCGACAGCACCCCCTATGGCCGGAATCAAACATAACCTCCAGGTGCAGAAGATGGAAAATGATAATATACTTCTATTTGTTTATCTGTCCTGTATGTCTAAAATGGCATTGAATGTTTGTGTGTGTTGTTGTAATCCGCCCTGGGTCCCCATTGGGGTGAGAAGAGCAGAATATAAATGTTGTAAATACATAAATTGGAAACAGATTTCCTGGGGGAGAGTCAGGAGGATGGAAAGGGAACTTCAAAAGGCAAATGTAAGATTTTGTTCCTCATTCTGAGGTGCATAATAGTCACATCATTCCACCCTTACCTCGTCCCCTGCCACCATACCTTCCTTAAATATATTTCCACCTGTTCCTTATTTTATTCTAACTTGGCCAGACCATCAAGTGGCAACTTATCAATGCATAGCCTCCCAATAGAATTTTCGTAAAAGATGATTCAAATTGTTTTCATTGGATACCACTGACACATTCAATTAACAGTCAAAACATCAGATGTACATGTAGACATGTTTGAGCTGGTTGTCCAAATGAGTCCCACTTGCCTTGACAATATGTAGTTTGGGCAACAAATTGCAATCTGCTAGTGTCATCTCATCTCCGTCCAGAAATTTGCGTGTGGAAACGGTCACATCCTCCATGCTGTTTTCATCAATTTCATCCGGAAGAGGTGTGTTCAGGTACTCATCCAACTTTTGCAGAGTTTTTAGGACGCTCCTCTCCAAGGCTGGAGGAAAGAGGCAATATGGTTAATTTTTTAAAAATGGAGAAAGGAATGCAAACAAAGCAGCATGAATCCAACAGCCTGACACATTCGTGTCTGCAGGACCACTTTCCTTCCATATACAATTCCCATTATACAATGGAGAAAGGTTTTCTCAGTGGTTGGAGTGGGTTGCAGAACAGCCTCAGGGAAATGCAAACGTTGCCTGACAGCTCTCAAAGGGGTATTTAGAAACTAAGGTCCACATTTATTGATGCTTTTTGTTGGATTCTTTAATCTGAGATTCACTGTTTGTTTCTTTGAGTCTTTAAAACAACTAGATAACTGATTACAAGCTAGATCAAGTGTCCAGCCACTAGAAAGGAATCCAGCCAGGAACCCTGGATAACTACTGATCTAAGGTCCTCTTTACACTGCCATATTATCTGCTTTGAACTGGATTATCTGGCAGTGTAGACTCATATAATCCAGTTCAAAGCAGATAATGTGGATTATCTACTTTGATAATTAGTATTACATGGCCATGGTAGTCCATGCTCTTGTTACATTCCGAATAGATTACTGCAACACACTCTACATGGGGTTGCCTGGAAGACTGCCTGGAGTGGCATACAACCCCTCTGTTATGCCATCTAACCTGAGTGGCATACAAGCCCTCCGTAACGCCATCTCCACTGGCTGCCGATCTGCTAGAAAGCACAAACCAAAGTGCTGGTCTTTTAAAGCCCTGAACAGTTCTGGCCCGGATTACCTGTCCGAACATATCTCTTGTTATGAACCATCACAAAGTTTAAGATCAGCTGGAGAGGCTCTGCTCTCGATCCCACCACCATTGCAAACGAGAGACAGGGCCTCTCAGTGGTGGCCCCTTTCCTGAGGAACACTCTACCCAGTGACATCAGATTGGCTACTTCCCTCCTGTCTTTAAGAAACTCAAAAGCTGGTTATAGGACCAAGCATTTGAACAGTAGCAGCAGCAATCGGGAATAAGATTCAATGTGATATTATGATAATGGACTGCCCCAGACACTGATTTTAATCCGGCATGATTTTAATCAAATGTTTTTTAATGTAATATAATTTAATGAAGTGTTTTTAAATGTGCTTTATGACTGTGGTTAGCACTCGAATGCGTGCTTGTTGTGCAGCCGCCCTGAGTGTCGGCTGAGTTATTATTTAGCAATATTATTATTACTAAATAATAATAATAATAAACAACTTTATTTGTATTCCGCCCTATATCCTCGAGGGAACTCAGGGTGGATTCCAGCATAAGAATGGCAAACATTCCATGCCTGCATAAAACACATGATAGGTAAAAGGTAAAGGTTTTCCCCTGACATGAAGTCCAGTCATTTCCGACTCTGGGGTGTGGTGCTCATCTCCATTTCTAAGCCGAAGAGCCGGCGTTGTCCGTATTTATTTATTTTATTTATTTAGTTATTTCGAGCATTTCTACCCCGCCCTTCTTAACCCCTGGGGGGACTCAGGGGCGGCTTACAATGGGCAATAATTCAATGCCGCATCATAAAATACAGAATAACAAATATAACAATTACACATGAACATTAATAAATAAAGATTAAAAATAGTATACTTACACTCTGATTAGCTATTGCCCATCTGGTGGCTGTTTAGCTAGCCATCTACTAATGATTACTCTGCTTAACTTATCCAAATCCTCTTCCATGCCATAGTCAGCATTATCAATTGTCCTTTAACCTGATTGCCCGAAGGCCTGGTCCCACAGCCACGTTTTAACCTTTTTTCTAAAGGTAAGGAGGGATGACGATGACCGTAGACACCTCTAAGGTCATGTGGCCGGCATGACTGCATGGAGCGCCGTTACCTTCCCGCAAGAGTGGTACCTATTGATCTACTCACATTTGCATGTTTTGAACTGCTAGGTTGGCAGAGGCTGGGGCTGACAGTGGAAGCTCACCCCGCTCCCTGGATTTGAACCTGCAACCTTTCGGTCAACAAGCTCAGCAGCTCAGTGCTTTAACCCACTGCGCCACTGGAGCCTCCTTAAAACACATGATACTAACATAAAATCCCAGAAACCCTTGCATATAAAAATAACATTAAAATCTAACATCAAATTAAGACCTAACATCAGTAAATTAAATTAGACATCAATAAATTAAACTACATGTAATCAGACAAAATTCTATAATAACATAAATCTAAAGTCCCATTGTATATGATGACAGAATAATATGACTGCTGGGAGAGGTCATCTGGAGTTTTGGAGTTTTGCCATCTCTACGCAGATGACACCCAACTCTACTACTCTTTTCCACCTAATTCCGGGGAAGCCCCTCGGGTGTTGGACAAGTGCCTGGCCACTGTGGCTGTCTGGATGACGATGAATAAGCTGAGGATCAATCCCAACAAGACAGAGGTCCTCCTGGTCAATCGTAAGCTGGATCAGGGTATAGGGTGGCAACCTGTGCTGGATGGGGTTGCACTCCCCCTGAAGTCACAGGTCTGCAGCCTGGGTGTCCTCCTGGACTCATCACTTACACTTGAAGCTCAGGCGTTGGCGGTATCCGGGAGGGCCTTCTCACAATTAAGACTCGTGCGCCAGCTGCGACCGTACCTCATGAAGTCAGATCTGGCCAGGATGGTCCATGCCTTAGTCACCTCCAGATTGGATTACTGTAATGCACTCTACATGGGGCCGCCCTTGAAAATAACCTGGAAATTTCAACTGGTACAACGGGCGGCAGCCAGGTTACTAACTGGTGGGACTTACAGGGAGCAATCAACCCCCCTGTTTAAGGAGCTACATTGGCTGTCGTTCATCTTCCGGTCCCAATTCAAGGTGCAGGTTCTTACCTACAAAGCCCTGAACGCTTTGGGACGTGCCTATCTACATGACCGCATTTCTGTGTACGAACCCACACGATCTCTTTGAACATCCGGAGAGGCCCTGCTCGTGCTCCCGCCTCCCTCACAGGTGCGATTGGTGGGGACGAGGGAGAGGGCCTTCTCGGTGGTGGCCCCCCGACTCTTTCATAGGATATCAGGCATGCCCGAACATTGGCAGTCTTTAAGAGGAGCCTGAAAACATGGCTATTCCAGTGTGCCTTCCCGGAATAAAGGAACAACTCCCAGCAAAATGTCCTTACAAATGCACTTTAACCATTGGGTTGTGTTGGACTGTACCCCTCACTTTTTAAAACTCTCACTTAAAAAAAAAAGCCTCCTATGAGACATATCCAATCTTGTCATTTTAATTTTAAATCATTACATCTAGCCTGGCCATAAGTTTTTAAATCCTGTATGTTATTGTTATATGCGATTTATATTATTTTGTATTGCTTTGTATTGTTGATATTGCTTTTTTGTTGTGATGTGTTGCTGGGCTTGGCCTCATGTAAGCCGCTCCGAGTCCCTTGGGGAGATGGTGGCAGGGTATAAATAAAGTTTTATTATTATTATATTATTAAATGAAATGGCAACATCAAAGTTTGCTTTTTGGATTTTTAAAAAAAATATTTCCAAGTTGTGGATGGTTAAATCTGTGGAATGGGGAATCTGTGGATCCAGAGGGCAAACTGTACTGGAACATTCAATTTTATGCTTTGGCTCCGTTGTTGTTTCATTGGTTCCTTAAGCGGACAGCAAATCAGCAGAGGGCAGTCTTGCACAGCAGAGTTCTCCCAACAGAAATACAGGAGAAAGTCCTGCTCTTCCCATTTCAAGCCTTGCAGAAGAAGGCAGGGTTCGGGGACTTATTTATATAACCCTGCTTTAAGAGGATAAGCAGTGCTTCTCGAAGACATTCCAAGTGATGGCTTTTGAACTTTAGAGTGGCATAAGAACCAAGTGTTGACATTTAATATGGTGGAATACTTTTTTTGTTTTGTTTTTTTGAAAGTCGTGAGGATTTTGCTGCTACCTTGAAGGTCACAGACAGGGGCGGCTCGTCCATTACGCGAAGTAAGCGGTCACAGAACACTTTTTTTGCCAGGGGCGCAGAGGCGCCTCTGTAAATGCCCCTCGACCGCCACTTGAGGAGCGCCCCCTCAGCTCACAACAGCCCGAGCAGTCCGGGGGGAGCCTCGGCTTTCTTGCCTCGCTGCCAGGCGATCCTCTTCCCAAAGGGGCCGGGCCCTTGAGCCTCGCCTAGCCCCTCTCGTTCCTGCTCCACCCGGCCACCGGGTGCGCGAGCAGAGCCGGCGCTCAATCGTTCTCCGCGTTCGATCCCTTCCCCATGACCGGCTCCCTTTCCCGATCCCCCGGCGCTCCACCCGCCTCCTCTCCTCTCCCCAATCCGCGGGTGGGCCAAGGGGCGGAGCCGCCGCGCCTGGCCCGCTTCGGGTCCGGAGGCATGTCTGAAGACCCCAGCGTGCGCACCAAAAGTCGCCTCTTCTCCTGACTTTCTCTTCAGCCATTGGGACCAAGAGAGAGAGAGAGAGAGCCCCTCCGGCTGGAGGTATCTCCCACCTCCGCTCCCTCCTTTGTTTTTGCGCCTACCTTCAGGAAAGGTGGGCATCTCCACCTCTCTCTCTCTCTCTCTCTCTCTCTCTGGGTCCCAATGGCTGAGGAGAAAGTCAGGAGAAGAGGTGAGTTTTGGTGCACGCACCGGGGTCTTCAGGCACTGCTCCGGACCCAAAGCGGGCCAGGCAAGGGAGCAAGTGCGGCAAGTGTAGTTACTGGGATGTATAGTTCACCTACAATCAAAGAGCATTCTGAACTCCACCAATGATGGAATTGAACCAAATATGGCACACAGAACTCCCACGACAAACAGAAAATATATATCAATGATTGGTTGGGGGGGGGGGGCAAAATACTGTTTACTTACCGTTGAAAATTACCTAGGGCCGCCTCTGGTCACAGACATTCAAAAGCAAGCCACAGGCCATATTTCCAAAGAGGAATATTTGCCATCAAGAAAATGGTTCCAGCAGCCTCAATATGAATCCTCATTAATCTCTACATACACTTTTACACACCACGTTTCAAGCCAAAGTGGGACAAAAGCAGCAGTCTTTGTCTGGAATGAGAACTATGAGGGATTCAATGAGACGACGTCTACTTTGGAACTCTTCCAAATATTTAATGCATTAGTTATTGTAGCAGCGTTTCCAGTTTTGGCAAAAGCAGAAAGACGACTGTGCTTCCAGACATTTTGCATGCAGAGGTGCTGCATCCCACTCATTGTTTATACTCTGTCATCTGGGATGGAATCCTTATGTGCATGTTTGGCAAACTTTAATCTACACACTCTACCCTCATTCAGAATAGTAGGAGGGAGTATGCACCTCTTGAGTAGGCACACTTAGCTTTGAATTCCTGCAAGCCACTACACAATAGGCTTGTGCATAATTTCCTTTTTAAGTCATATTTCGGATCAAGTTTGTTAAATTTGTACATAGGCAAAGTTAAGATTTCCCCTTGACATTAAGTCTAGTCGTGTCTAACTCTGGGGGGTGGTGCTCATCTCCATTTCTAAGCCGAAGAGCCAGCGTTGTCCGTAGACGCCTCCAAGGTCATGTGGCCGGCATGGCTGCATGGAGCGCTGTTACCTTCCCGTCGAAGTGGTACCTATTATTCTACTCACATTTGCATGTTTTCAAACTGCTAGGTTGGCAAAAGCTGGGGCTAACAGTGGGAGTTCACCCCACTTCCCAAATTCAAACCGGCGACCTTTCAGTCAGCAAGTTCAACAGCTCGGCAGTTTAACCCACTGCACCACCGGGGGCTGCAAACATGCAAGAAAGATGTGTGTGTGGGGCGGGGGGGGGGGGGGTTAGAAATTGTAAGACTCATCAATCATTTTCGTTATGATTTGTAACATTCAGATGTCTCCCAAGGTCAGTTTAATTTTTAGTATAAGCATTAAGCAACTTTGGCAAAGCGTCTCATCACTAAAATCATTTTTCCGCCGCATCGTCCAATCGTTCCGTGGATCTCAATTAGTCTGTTACAGTGTGTCTGCAAATGCCTGCTCAAACAGCCAGGTTTTGACTCTCTTTCGAAATGTTAGGAGGGAGGAGGCTGATCTAATATCCCTAGGGAGGGTGTTTCATAGCCGAGGGGCCACCGCTGAGAAGGCCCTGTCTCTCGTTCCTGCCAATCGCATCTGCGAAGGGAGCGGGATCGAGAACAGGGCCTCACCAGACGATCTTAAACACCTAGATGGTTCATAGAGAGAGATGTGTTCGGACTGGTAAACTGGGCCAGAACCATTTAGGGAGCAAACTGGCAACCAGTAGAGCTGGCGCAACAGAGGAGTTGTGTGCTCCCTGAGCGCCGCTCCTATTAACAACCTGGCTGCTGCCTGTTGGACCATTTGAAGCTTCTGAACAGTCTTCAAAGGCGGCCCCACGTAGAGCATGTTGCAGTAGTCTATATGGGATGTAACCAGAGCATGGACTACTGTGGCCAAGTCAGACTTCCCAAGGTACAGGCGCAGCTGGAGCACAAGTTTGTCTTGGCAATTGTTTGCCTTTGATTGACCATTGTCTACACAATCTCCAAAAAATTTGTGGGTCCAGCCCATCTTCTGTATGTGAAAAGGTTACAGGTCAACAGACAGAAAGAGCTGGCTCTGTGCTCAAAGGCACAGGTTGGTTCCAAGGTGTTCAATACGTTTTCCAGGTGATGACTGAAGCTGGCACTAACTAGTTTAAAAGGATTAACTTTTCATGTAGTTAGTAGAGAAGGAGAAAGGAAAATGTCTCACCCAACTATACAAAAATATCAAACTGGCATTTAAAATTGGAAAACAATTCATGCAACACGCTGAACCCCACCAAAGATGGAGTTGGACCAAACATGGCACACAAAGCCCTCATGAACAGCAATAAATACTGGAGGTCTTTGGGGAAAATTCACCTTGATTTGGGAGAGTTGTAGTTCACCTACATCCAGAAAGCAATGTGAACCCAAACACTAATGGATCTGGACCAAACTTAGCACACAGATCTGATATGCAGAAATTTGATTACTCGAGGGGTTTGGGGGGAACTGGCCTTCCTTTCTGGGAGTTGTAGTTCACCCACAACCAGAGAAACTGTGGCCTTCACCAATGATAGACCTGGACCAAACTTGGCACACAGAATGCCTCATGATTAATTCAACCTACTGGAGGGATTTGAGGGGACTGACTCACCATAAAGGGAGTTGTAGTTTACCCTACAGCCAGAGAGCACACTGAACCCCACCTATGATGCATCTAGAGCAAACCTGCCCAATATAACAAACTTTAAGTACTGATGGTACCCAAGCTAGTGTGTGTGTGTGCATACACACACTTGAGAATAACATGCAGAGAGCTATTACGAAAAGCTGTTTGTTTAAGGGCAGTCGCTGCCTGCTCAAGTAGAACCACCACACCTTGTCCAAGGTAACCAAACAAACCTAATGCCAAATAACATTTTAAAAGGGAAAGAATGGATTCCTGACCTTCATTTCCTTCAGGTCTGGAATTCTTGATAAATGCGGAAAATTTAGCAAAGATGTCCATTCCCGCCGTGTTTGATTCTGGATGTTTCGGTGAAAGTTTTGCATACCTGAAAAGGAATAGATACTGCATTTAGTTTAAGGTGTGATTTGTGGGGCAGCATGGACCCTTTAAGAAACCACCAATAGCAATGCTATGTAAACATTAAATCACCCCAATATCTTTATTGTGCTGAGTCAAGTTCAGCACTTGTGATGTGCAACTTTTGCCTTTCCTGAAACCAGCTTGCTGTGGAATCAGACAGGGATCTATTTTTTCCATAATTTTATAAAGCACATAGAAGATGGCTTTGAAAGGCAGCAGATCACAGGAGCTGTCTTCATAGACCTGTCAGCGGCTTATGATACTGTGAACCACCGCCTCTTCCTGAGAAAAACGTATAATATCAGAAAGCATTACCACCTCACCCGCCTCATACAGGAAACCTGCTACAAAACAGGAGCTTTTTTGTTGAGTTCCAGGGCCAGAGAAGCAGATGGCGGAAACAGAAGAACGGCCTGCCTCAGGGGAGCGTGCTTGCTCCATCCATGTTCAACATTTACACAAATGACCAGCCACTGCCAGAAGGGACAGAGAGTTTCATCTATGCTGATGATCGTGCCATTACTGCTTAAGCAGGGAGCTTTGAGATGGTAGAACAGAAGCTCTCTGAAGCTCTAGGTGCTCTTACCGCCTACTACAGGGTGCTCTTACCGCCTCTAGGTGCTCTTACCGCCTAGGTGCTCTTACCGCCTACCAGACGATCCATAATCCATCTAAAACACAGACGTGCCTTTCACCTTAAGAACAGACAAGCATCCCGAGCTCTGAGGATTACCTGGGAAGGAATCCCACTGGAGCATTGCAGCACACCCAAATACCTGGGAGTCACTCTGGACCGTGCTCTGACCTACAAGAAGCACTTCCTGAATATCAAGCAAAAAGTGGGTGCTAGAAACAATATCATACGAAAGCTGACTGGCACAACCTGGGGATCACAACCAGACACAGTGAAGACATCTGCCCTTGTGCTATGCTACTCTGCTGCTGAGTATGCATGCCCAGTGTGGAACACATCTCACCACGCTAAAACAGTAGATGTGGCTCTTAATGAGACATGCCACATTATCACGGGGTGTCTGTGCCCTACACCACTGGAAAAATTACACTGTTTAGCCAGTATTTCACCACCTGACATCCGCCGGGAAGTAGCAGCCAATAGTGAAAGGACCAAGGCACTGACATCTCCAGCTCATCCCTTGTTTGGGTGTCAGCCAGCACATCAACGACTTAAATCAAGAAATAGTTTTCTAAGATCTACAGAGACACTCGCTGGAACACCCCAGCAAGCGAGAGTCCAAAAGTGGCAGGCTCAAACCCAGAACCTCAATCCATGGCTGATACCAAATGAGAGACTCCCCCCTGGGCACACAGAAGACTGGGCGACTTGGAAGGCGCTGAACAGACTGCGCTCTGGCACCACGAGATGCTGAGCCAATCTTAAGAAATGGGGCTACAAAGTGGAATCCACGACATGCGAGTGTGGAGAAGAGCAAACCACTGACCACCTGCTGCAATGCAACCTGAGCCCTGCCACATGCACAATGGAGGACCTCCTTGCGACAACACCAGAGGCACTCCAAGTGGCCAGATACTGGTCAAAGGACATTTAATCAACTACCAAGCTTGCAAATTTTGTGTTTTGTCTGTTTGTTTGTTTTGTTCTGTTAGAAATGTAATACAATTGTCTGGTTGCCCCTGACACGATAAATAATAAACCCCAATATCAGTCTTGACACATCACATTTGTTCACATTTCTACAAAATATTTTATTAATGTCATACTTCAGTTTGCTTCAGTTTATATAAATACACAGTAATCTAGAACAGGGCTTCCTAAACTTTTCCCACTCGCAATCTCTTTCTGAGAAATTTTACATGATTCCAGGTAATACCATATATACTCGAAGATAAGCCTCCCTCAACTTATAATAGGGTCAAGGCTGGGCAGCAGAACCTTTCCAGTCAAAAGGGAGGGAAAGAGGAAAAGGAAATATTTTCATGTCCTCTTTGTTTGTATGGCTCTCCTTCAAACCCATCCAATTTCCTGGCTCTTTTTGTGTGTATCTAAATATATTAACTTTATATGTGCATTTTTGTTCCCTTGAAAGTGTTCACTGGCCTTTATAAGCCCTATAGATCTATAAATATGTTTCTATATATTAGTGGTTACCAACCTTTGAGCCTCCAGGTGTTTTGGACTTCAGCTCCCACAGTTCCTAACAGCTGGGATTTCTGGGAGTTGAAGTCCAAAACACCTGGAGGCCCAAAGGTTGAGAAACACTGCTTATACATGAATGTTTCTCCTGAAGTCTTTGAAAACCATATATATCCATTAATCTTATAAAAGCATTTTCCCCTGAAATATTTGTTAATCTCTCCTACAGATATACAAGCATTCCCCCCTGCAAGCCTTTGCAATCCCTATGTATCTATATATCTGTAATTATCTATATACATTGATTTTATATGTGAATTTTCCCCTCATATGTTTGCAGTTCTTTGCAAATCCTATATACAAATAGATATCTAGAGATTTCAGTGTACCTGTATATCTGTATCTATATTTATACATTATTTTAATATATGAATTTTCTCCTCGCATATTTGCAAGTCTCTGCAAATCCTATATGTTGATATATAAATAAATATATAGAGGTACCTTATATATCTGCATATCTGTGTGTATGCATGTATATGTGTGTGTGTGTGTGTGTGTGTGTGTGTGTATTTTCCCCTCACTTGTTTGCAAGTCCTTGCAAATCTTATATAAACATATATAGAGAGAGATGTCTAGATAGATAGATATGAATATAGATATATAGGACTTGCAAATATTACAGGGGGAAATGCACATACAAATATATAGAGAGATGTCTAGACAGATATGAATATAGATATATAGGGCTTGCAAATATTGCAAGGGAAATGCACACACACAGAAACACATATATAGAGAGAGATGTCTAGATAGATATAAACATAAATATATAGGGCTTGCAAATAATGCAGGAGGGAAATGCACATATAGAGAGAGGATTTGCAAACGTTTCAGGGGAAATGCATATGTGGTATGTATAATGATAGATCTATATCTAGATCTGCATTGTTTATATAGGCAATGAATGTTTGCCTGTTACTATGTTGGAAGCCGGCCTGAGTTCCCATGGGGAGATAGGGTGGGATACAAATGAAGTTCTATTATTATAATTAAGTTACTGTTGATACCATATTGTTTTTCTTTTCCACTTACAGAGCTAGTTTACTATTCTTCTTTGAAATACGGTAAATATTAAAAAAAAATTAACCTATTAATGCCGCAATGTAATTTTATTGGCATCTATTTTTATTTTTGAAATATACCAGTAGCTTCTGCGTTTCCCACCCTTAACTTATACTTGAGTCAAAACGTTCTCCCAGTTTTTTGTGGTAAAATTAGGTGCTTTGGCTTATATTCGGGTCGGCTTATATTTAAATATATATGGTAGATATAAAAGAGGTATAAAACCCAAATATTTTATAATAAATTGGAATGTGCAAGGCTAGATAAGCAGGCTGATTTCCCTTTTTGTAGAGTACAGCTGAAGCATTTTCTGAAGAGTCCACTGGAAACGCAGCACTCTTCTGCTCAACAGGTTCATGTAGATGGGCAGTGTTTAGAAACATTGCACTGTTAACAAAGTTTCTCTTAGTATTGAGTTAAGAAACCTCATTTAGGGCCAAGACCCACAGTTTCAGAAGCAGTGATCTAGAGTACAGATTTTCTACCAAAGAAGGGCAGCAGATCACAGGAGCTGTATTCATAGACCTGTCAGCGGCTTATGATAGTGTAAACCACCGCCTCCTCCTGAGAAAAATGTATAATATCACAAAGGACTACCACCTCAACCACCTCATAGGAAACCTACTACAAAACAGGAGCTTTTTTGTTGAGTTCCAGGGCCAGAGAAGCAGATGGCGGAAACAAGAACGGCCTGCCTCAGGGGAGCGTGCTTGCTCCATCAATGTTCAACATTTACACAAATGACCAGCCACTGCCAGAAGGGACAGTTTCATCTATGCTGATGATCGTGCCATTACCGCTCAAGCAGGGAGCTTTGAGATGGTTGAACAAAAGCTCTCCTTAGCTCTAGGTGCTCTTACTGCCTACTACTGGGAAAACCAGCTGATCCCTAATCCATCTAAAACACAGACATGTGTTTTCCACCTTAAGAAAAGACAAGCATCCCGAGCTCTGAGGATTACCTGGGAAAGGGAGCCCCCGGTGGTGCAGTGGGTTAAACCCCTGTGCCGGCAGGACTGAAGACCAACAGGTCGCAGGTTCGAATCCAGGGAGAGGCGGATGAGCTCCTTCTATCAGCTCCAGCTCCTCATGCGGGGACATGAGAGAAGCCTCCCACGAGGATGATAAAACATCAAATCATCCGGGCATCCCCTGGGCAACGTCCTTGCAGACGGCCAATTCTCTCACAACAGAAGCGACTTGCAGTTTCTCAAGTCACTCCTGACACGACAAAAAAAAATCTGGGAAGGAATCCCACTGGAGCATTGCAGCACACCCAAATACCTGGGAGTCACTCTGGACCGTGCTCTGACCTACAAGAAGCACTGCAAAAAAGTGAGTGCTAGAAACAATATCATACGAAAGCTGACTGGGGATCACAACCAAACACAGTGAAGACATCTACCCTTGCGCTATGCTACTCTGCTGCTGAGTATACATGCCCAGCGTGGAACATATCTCACCACACTAAAACAGTAGATGTCGTTCTTAATGAGACATGCCACATTATCACGGGGTGTCTGCGCCCTACTCCACTGGAGAAATTACACTGTTTAGCCGGTATTGCACCACCTGACATCCACCGGGAAGTAGCAGCCAATAGTGAAAGGACCAAGGCATCTCCAGCTCATCCCCTGTTTGGATATCAGCCAGCACACCAACGACTTAAATCAAAAAATAGTTTTCTAAGATCTACAGAGACACTCGCTGGAACACCTCAGCAAGCG